AAAATTAAATAATTATTTGGCCTGCTGAAAATTTAAAATAATTATTCAAGGGCGATAATGGTCGATAACGGTTCATTTTAGCAGGTAACGCTGGGTCTGCCGAAAGTTTCAAACGTTTCATAATTAACTATTTTGCGTCGAAGGTGCCGATATTAAAAAGCAGTACGGTACTATACGGCTACAAAAACGGCGATCTCTAGAAAGGGGTATATATGCAGCGGAACTCCTGATAAAAGGTGATTGGAATCATGCGGAAATGTGGAATTTTACAGTTGAAATGTATCACTGTCAGCATCCTTCTCGGCCTCTGAATGTCCTGACTCCTGAGGCTGAAGTCTGCTCCTGACTCCTGACTGGACTGCACTTGACTTGAGTTCCATAACTTAAAGAACTTATGGATGAAAGTTGTGAAACTTGCAAGTAGAAACCCTAATCTGATCAGCCAAAAAGGCAGAGGGGGGCACAAGCCAGAACGCCAGGGCCCAGGACCCTGCTGTCGAGGACTGGCTCGTTTGCATCATGGCGGCCAATGGCCCCCTCGTCTCTGACCCCGGCGCTACCAGCGGGGCGCCCCCAAACTATCATGAAGATTGGTTGAGCTTGCGCATTCCAAATGAAGAAATGATGTACTTCGATCTGGATGCCCCTCCCCGAGCGCTCACAAACGAGCAGCGGCAGCAGAGGGAGCAAAGGATCACTGAAAGTGAGCTGTACCTGGATGTGGGCCCTGAAAAGGTACGGTGGCCTCGTCCTGAAACCATCATCGCATCTTCAAGTTTTTCACTTTGCTTCATTGAATTGTGATTATATGCTGCGGGAACTTTCTCAGGGTTGTGGCCATGTGCCTGATTTCAAAGGGTTTCTACTTCAGGGCCAGTAATCTTGCATTTATTGCACCTTTCAAGCCCACATTATCGGTTCAGCTAGCCAACATTTGATGTGCGTGCCCAACTTTTTCGCTGTCCTGAGGCATGCTCAGGAAATCCTGTCACACACCCCCTTGGTGCAGGAGCCTATTGTGTACCACCCTGGGTACAATGTCTCCTTTGGCATCCTCGACCCCCTGCTTGCCATCCTGTGAGTGCACCGCGTTGCCCTCTGTGAGCTTCCGTGGGCCGTTCATCCCCCCTCATTACAAAGCCTTGTTTCAATAGACAGCCCTGGTTGCTGTGAGCTGATTCACCTGTCACAATTTTCTAGGACTCTCAGACCAACTGATTGTGGCCATCTGTGCAGGCATCCCTTTGACTCGGTGAAGTATCGGCGGATACACGACTTCCTCCTTGCCTGGGGCGTTGTCCACAAGGACCAGATTGTGCAGCCGAAGGAGGCAACGCAGTCTGACCTCCTTGTGGTGAGCGGCACACGGCATTACGGCCTATAGCCTCCCCCCTACTTCTTACCCACCCCCTGGTGGCAAGGCAATCTGATGGCTTGTCATTGAGGCTCTGCTATCTGGGGCAGGAAAGACGTCTCTTCAATGAGCAAACCTCCGCCAGGCCCTCCGCCAGGCGATGGTGAGGGTGTTCTTGCTTCTTTGTGGCCTCCTCTTGCTTCCAAACGGAACCTCATAACTGCCCCCTTCCGTCCTGTCAGGTGCACACCCCTGCCTATCTGGCCCGCCTGTGCTGGAGCTACAGGGTGGCGCAGATCCTGGAGATCCTGCCTGCGGCCCTCCTGCCCAAGTTCGTGGTCCAAGCGCGCATCCTGCGGCCTTTCAGAACACAGGTGAGAGGGAGCGGACTGCGCACCAATGCTTGTGCGCCGACTTTTGAGGCTGAGCCCAGGTTTGCAAAACCAAGATAGCTCACATGGCCCACGCTCCTTGTCCATGAAGGAACTTGGCTGCTTTGCTCGTTCGTTGTTTGGCCACCGTTGAGAATGGTTTGCCCTGCCCTTAGCCTAGAATTGAGGCCTGAAGGAGAACCGAGTCATTGTGGTGTTAGTCGCTTATCGGACAGTATCTAGGAGTTTCAACAAGTAGCGGTTGTAAGCCCCCCCGTGTGTGCTGTGGCAGTCCAGACGGGGGGCTCCGTCCTGGCTGGCAAGCTGGCGGTAGAGCGCGGGTGGGCAATCAACCTTGGCGGGGGTTTCCACCATGCCTGCGCCTACATGGGCACCAAGGGGGGCTACTGCATCTACGCTGACATCACCATGCTTGTCGAGTTTGCCCGCTCGCGCCTGGGGATTCGCAAGTGAGTCGAATATGTGGGACCTCTCTGCAAGCGAAGTCGGTGAGGAAATACAAAAGCAAACGACAGTTACGGCTTCCCACGTGCCAAACAGAAAGCAATAATTTGGCTGGCGATCAACCCCTTCCGCTCTGGATTTAAGACGAGAGGTTTCATGAGCGACTGAGTTTTTCGTCCTGGTTGTAGGGTACTGATCGTCGACTTGGACGCCCATCAGGGAAACGGCCATGAGCGGGACTTCATTGGAGATGGTGAGCGATCCTTATATTTGTATTCAGCGCCATTGTGGAAAGAACCGACCGTGCTAAAGTCGATCTCCTTCGCCAAGTCATTTGAATGCGCGGTGGAGTTTTCCTCAGCAGCTCTAGGTCGTTGTTGGAGGTCAGGTTTTAAAAAAGACATTGTAAAGTGCTGGTGGGCTGTGCCTTTCCAGGCTCACACCTTGGTCCGTATCTTGTCTCGGTCATGTGTCTCCATTACCCAAATGCTGGCTGCCCTAACAGGCCCGTGCAGACGATGCTTACATCATCGACGCCTACAACGAGGAGGTCGACCCCTGGGACCACCCTGCCAAGGCCGCCATGCGCGGCCCCATCCGCCTGACGGTGAGCTGACGGTCGAGCCTTTCTTTTCGACAAAAAAGGACCGCTGGCGCAGTAAAGCCACGGTTGTCTGATTACTTATCCCGGTGCGATGAGGGTCTGTCCTTTTGTCCGAAGGCACATCAGGAAGCTAGATTGCAAGCTCACAACTCCTCGAGACGTTTCAGCAGCGTTCAGGGTGGAATGAAAGAAAAAACGACGGCTGCTGGTTTTCGGTACGTTTGTCGTTGGTGATGTGTCTCCTACCAGTAATTTGCGAACCTGCTTTGTAAACACGGCGACTCGAGAGGATCCGTCCGCTCATTCAACCCCCTTTTTTCCCGTTGCGCAGTGCGGCATCCGCAACGCTGACTACCTGCGGCGTGTGGCAGAAGCTCTTCAGGCAAGGCGCTCCCTTCCACTTCTCGTTCCGCACGCCGACCTCGGCTCGTCCTCCCTTCGCCGCCCGCTCCGTTTCTTACATGCGACATTCCATGCAAATGCAACGTCGAATGCTCCGACTATTTGCTAGTCCCCTTCATCTGCCTCGCTTTATTCACTTTCTTCCCATTTGGCCTATTGCAGGCTGCGGAGACGTTTCCTGCCGACCTCATTGTGTACGCCGCAGGCACGGACGTCCTGGAAGGGGACCCGCTGGGCCTCCTGCGGGTGAGCGACGCTATACTGATGCTCTCTCGCTTACTCAGTGCTATCAGGCACGCCTTGATACTCGCTTCCTGTCGCCGCTTATTCTATGTTTAGGACCTTGTGCGATCCTCTCCTGTCGTTGATTTGGCCTTTCCTCAAGCCAGTGCTTAACGGCTTCGCTTATCGGCTTGTTTAGGCAACGATGGCTCTGTTTCTCGGACGCGAAATGCCAACGGTCGCTTCACTTGTTCGACCTTTGCCAATGCGCCTGCTCCGGGTGGTCGACTTTGAGCGACAGCGCAAGTCTCGGCGGGTCGAAAGTCGAAACGTTGCTCGGATTCCTCGTCGAGTGTTTTGCACGAAGTGCTGTGGCTCTCATCTTGTTGCTCGGGGTGTGTGCAGGTGACGGCAGAGGGCATTGTAAAGCGTGATGAACTAGTGTTTGACTACACGCGGACCAAGCGCAAGATACCCATCGTCATGCTGACGTCAGGCAAGAACAATGTTTGCTGCGAACCACCGGGAAATAATTCTCAAAGCAGATTCGTTTTACGAGACCATTGTAAAGCGTTGTCCGACGGTGTGTAAGGTGGTCCCATCTCTGCGAGGGTGTGCAATCTCCTCTCTGAGTTGAAGCTTCAAAACTTCCCGTCCTTGAAGGTGGCAATTACTGCTTTAGCTCCCTTTCCCAGATTGGTTCCAGGCCTGGTTATAACCACCATAATGTGCCGCTGACTGCGCGCTTTGTGCTTTTCTTCAGGCGGGTACCAAAAGAACAACGCAGAGATCATTGCAACCTCCATCTCCAACCTTGCTTCGAAGTCGTTGATCAGTCTGAGCCCGCGCAGCAGGTAGTTGCCGGCAGGCAATAACGTACTGCCGACGTTGCGTTAAGAGATTCCAGTCGTGTCGATCCCTTCAATTGGTGAGAGACGTAGACATGAAGACATCCTCAATCATCAAAGCTTTACCTTGGGGATATCTCCGGCCGTCATATCCAATCTTGGACTTGAATCGCCCGCTGGGAAGCATTCGTAAAGTAAAGTCTCTATTCCCTGCTCCACTCCATTATTGCCTGCTCCATCTCGTCGGAGTAAGAACTCAGTTGGTGCGCTCCTTGGTGCCAGCAGCGGCCGCCGCGCCGCGCCGCGCCAGTGAGTCACAAGTTTGATCTGCACGGCCGGAAAGGCTGGCATGGCAAGTCCGACTTCCTGGCGCGGGGCCCGTGCTAAGCAGCATGATTGCTTTTATGCTGGCATGTATTAAGTGCGTAACAACGTACTATAGGTGTTTTTCACGCATCAGGGATCGACAGCGACCAAGAGTCCGGCCCCCGCGTCGAATGACATAAGATCTGAAACTCCCATGTATGATCTGGCATGATTCGGACTGGTCCGCGCAGAGTCATGCTATATATAATCAAGTCGAACCAACTCAATTGTGCAGGATAATATTGCAATTGCCAGTAGTAGCCTAGCATGCATAGTTTACTAGTAATGCCGCGGTCACCTTTGCATGATCATGCATGAATCATGTGCCGGGGATGATTGCCAGCTCGACTATAGTACCGCGCCGCGCGCGGGGGGCACGCCGTGACGCGGCAGCCGGGGCCCCGAACACCGCGTCTGCAAATGCATGTAATATATCGAAGCCATGATCGTCGATCGTGCTCAACATGCAATGATGGCGGCATATATGCCATGCAGATGTCGAACTTAACATATGAGTAGATGAGCTGCACGGTGCCCCGGCCGATTTGACCAGAGCCGCCCGTTGAGCTTCCGCATTCTGTTCTGATCTGGATCGAACCGCAATCGCCTCGCTCCTAGGACCAGCTACGACGAAGTCAACTAACCGTCAGACCGAGATGCAAGCTATCTGATCATTGCTTAAATCTGCTTTTGAGAAATCTATTTAGACTTACGCACTAGCTCGCCACTCGACTATTACGACCGCTCAACCTCATCCAACACCATGAGTAGTTCTGCTGATTATTGGAAGTGTCTCCGGAGCACATCGGCAGCCTTCTCATCGACTACAGTACCATGACAGGGAAGGATGATACTGAAGCCCCAGCTCAACACCGTTTTCAACCTCTGCTCAAACTTGTCTTTCCGCTTGAGCATGAAGTATTTGTAGAAGGGCAGGTACACCTTGTCCATGCCCTGCTTCCATATGAACGTGCCCGGGGGGACCGCCTTCCCCGGATAGTTCCAAAACAGGTCCGTCACGAACAGCACCCCCGACGGATGGTGCACGTATACCACCTGAACGCCGAGCACGGCAAGGTCAACCGCTTTGATTGTCGATGCCGAAATTGCTATACGATGCCTCCCGATTGATGAAATGCCGCAAGTCTCTACGCAAAGCTCGACCACAGGGCAGAGCTCGACCACAGGGCACAGCACGACCACGGGGCAGAGCAAGGAAGAAACGAATCGCATCGCCAGGGCCGATGACTGGAAGGGTCGCAAAACCGTTAAAATATAGACTGCGGAAGATAATCGGAGAACTATGGTCAGCGAGCAAGGTCCCCGCACAAATCTGACCGAGCTCAAGATTTCAAGCGGCGGTAGGGACGTGAAGCACCGTTCTGATCGAACAGTCCCGTTTGAAACGTCCGTGTCACCTCATTGAAGAAGGGCTTAAGCGTGAACGGGTTGTGCTCGCAGTCGAAAAACGCGAAGGAGAACTCCCCCCCCCACTCCGCTGGCGTGGCGCTTCCGTTGGCGCCAATCTCCGCAGCGTATCTGACGTCGGGCTTCTTTGCTCGGAGCCCCGGGCAGGCTGGAGGTGGTGACGAGGAAGAGCGCAAACTTTGTACGTGCTTAAGGTCCGTGAAAAGGTGAAAGCGATTCGACACGAGGAAAGGAAAGTTTGTTCGGTAATAAGTCCCAAAACATGTCTCCCGCCAATTCCTACATTCTTGTAGATAGTTCCCAACAACACACATTCCTTGCAAAGGGGATGTCGGCCGATTCCAGGGATCCAGAGAGCAACCAAAGGGCCTCCCAAATATGATTGCGGGTTGGAGAAGCTTCGTGCACCTTATCAGCCCAAGAGGCAACTACACATGGTACGGGGCAGACAAGCACGTGCATCGGAGCCGTCTAACACCACTCAAGCGGACACTCGGGGCAAAGGAAGGGGTATCTAATCTTGTACTGACACCAACGTGTAAGCAGAGAAGTCGACGTGTCCAACCTGGGATTCAATCGAAGCATGGCAGAGTCGGAGTCTCCTTCCAATATTGTCGTCCGCCAGGTAATGTCGACAAAAGAGCTAGAATAAAACCAGCAGGCTCACACAAAAACTACCTCCAATGGTTTTGAGAAAGAACCGTTGTGTAGCTTGTGACACACCTAAGTTGGACTTCGAAAACCTGGCCATCTGCCTCATTCAAGAACGGACTGTACGAATCAGAGAAAGAGGTCGAAGGAACGTCGAAGGAAGAATGATTGTGTAGCTTGCACCCTGGCATGTGGCCTTGAGAGAAGCAGCCAGGGTGTCGTCATCGTTGACAAGGTCGTGCCAGCTGTGATCGATCGCAGGAGACGCTCACCATAAGCTTTGGCGTCCGGGTAAGCTTCGATCCACTGCTGAGCGAAGCTGCAAACAGTACTTGATGTCAGAGCTCCGAAAAGGTCGCAAGATTCTTGCTTTCAGAAGAAACGTCGCAGGGAGCTCGGAAGCTGCAAGCACTCCAGTTCAACTCGAGCAGACGTTTGACCAGGTACCGTCCTCCTTTGACGCCCGGGGGGTGAAGGAAGACACCTCAGTCATAAAGACAAGTATCGTCACGCGACACATGCTAAGATGGCTCAGGATAGATGATCACCACTCCAACATCAACCAACATCTTATACAGCCCGTCAATGTCATCAAGCAATTCATTCTGAGAGATCTGCTCTCCTTCCTGCGCTGGCTGCTCCCACGCCCCCCTCACCCTGCGTGCTCGTAGTTGGGCGTCACGATGTGCTTGACTGGCCCAAGCTGATCCATGGCTGCTTTCAGCTGATTGTCCAGCGGCACCGGGCTGTGCACCCACACGGAGCCGTCGCGCAGGCGCACCACGCCCATCTTGCCACCCACGTCAATGCCGTTCCACATAAAGGGGCGCTCGGCAGCCCACACCTGCACACCAGGCAAGGAAGGAAAGCCGTCAAGATTTGATAAGGCAGACGGCGTGCCTTTCAAATGTCACACTGGTTGACAACCAAGTGTCACACTGTTCGAAGGTGAAATAGGAGAGTAGAGCAACTCAACAAACAGCCTAATACGTTCAACAGGGGGCCAACTTTCGAACCCGGGTCTCAATGGCCGACGTTAGACCAACCTGGCTCTTACTTCTTACTTTCTCGAAAGCATATCGTGCAGGTTATCAATTACTGAAAAGAGCTGCATTGCTCAACTTAAGTCCACTGGCCACTCACGAGACTCTCATCAAGTCCACAACGTCGTGGCGCCTCTCGTAGCGTTGCATTTCAAAGCAAAGGACAGCCCTCAAACGTTCAGCTCCGTCTTACCTGGCCCGGCACCACCTCTGTCAGCACATTGCCGCTCGGATTGGACCATGTCTTGTCCAATGGGGCTGCCTCTGTCTGCGCTGCAGCGTGCACCACCCGCGTTCGCCGTCCTAGCTGGGTCTTGTCACTTGGACTTTTCCATGAGCTCAGCTGAATAGCCCTGGGCCAGTGGCTTAGTGCTGCACGCCGAAGGGGGGCCTTTCTGGATGGAACGGGGGAACAACCTGGGATGGGAGCGCGCTGGCGAGGGGCAGAGTGCGTTTGAACGAAGGCGCAGCCTGCGAGCTGCAGGACAAAGAGAACGGTTATACACCATGCTTCTCTGGTTACTGCTTTGCTACTTCCAGAGAAATGGGAGATTGTGAAGTTGGGGAATGCCGGGGGGCGTGTGTCGTTCTGGGCCATTCTTGCCTTGATTGGGGCTTCATGTCTGGATTGCTGGTGAGCAGAACGCACAGGCCAGGGGGCTGCATGCAGCAGCAATGTGAGAAAGACAATCAAGGTGATGTCAGGCAAAGTCAGAAAACGGGGACTTACTGCTGGGGCCACCTGGGCCGCATACGTTAGAGCTGTCATTGGGACGGAGCAATGGATTGTGCCTTCCCTCACGCCAGCAGTCCTTTGATGCAGCAGCTCAATGTTTAAGGCTTGTCGAGAGCGTGAGCTGGCGCTTGAGAGTTTGTTACCTATGACAACTGGCATGCGCTTCTTTCACAATGCAGCTCGCGAGTAGCTAATGGGGCGTGTAGAAGCAGAGAGAGATGATGAATCTTCAGAAGGTGCTAAAGCAGGAGATAAGTTTAATGTGTTTGAATAAACCTCGTCGATCTGGAGCACAGCAATGGCAGGCACTCGCGAGCTGGCATTGCAATTTGCAGCTTTAACCTTGTTGAGCCTGCGTCCATGATATTAAAGATCTGATTTACATGCAATGCAGCTTAAAAAACATATTGGGATATACTGACTGTATAGTCGCACGCTTATAATCTGCAATTGTGATATAAAACAAAGCGTAATGTTACTTACAATATTTGCCTCAACCTCGTGCAAGAGCCGCATTCTTATGAGCTCCTGAAATTCTCTTGTCTATTTACCATATATTCTCGGTCGTGTGAGGCCGTCTGCCAGCACAAAACTAGGATCCATGTTGCCTGTTTTATTGCTATTGCCAGTATTGGCGTTGGTTTACTCAGCTCTGGCTACGTTCACAAAACCACAGTTTGCTCCGCATGGAGCTCATGAAGGCGGCTGGGGTTATGTTCAGCAGACATGGATAGGTTGAATCGAAGCGAGGCTGGCGCAGGAGGTGAGGCTTCGCATGCTGGAGCGTTGGTTGACAGCGGCGCCGCTGGGCTGTCACCTTGTGACGTGGAAGCTTTGAAGGCTTGCTTGGAGAGGAACAACAACGATGGGGCAATGTGCGCAAAAGAAATCCAGGCGTTCCAAAGGGCGTGTGGGAAGGGAGCGCCTGGAAAGAAGTGACAGCATTTGACCTAGACTGTTGGGACTGGTGACGCTGAGAGCTTGCAAGCTCTAGCTTGCAAGGCCTGGCTGGTTCACAAAGGGTGGGCGCCACTGCCTTGATATGGAGGTCAAGGCAGATCAGCCACCCAAAATAAATCAAAGTAGCACACCGGCTCAGAATCTGTGCTTTCACGTAGTCCAACAAAATGCTGCTCATGCCAACACTGACACCTGTGTCAGGCCAAGTACGGCCGGGCTTGCTAAGACTTTGAATTGATCACCGACCACTGTAGCAGTGTAGGTTGGAAATGGGAGTCTACCACCAGTCAAGAATTGGGACAAAGTTAGTTGGTCATTTTCGTTGCTGGCAGCTGGATGTCCCTAGTACGATGTGAGCTGCTTTAAGGAGGAGTCTCAAATGACCCAGGAGATTGTAATAGAATAGGTAGTGTACCAGAGGACGCTGCAGAGGATGTATCATTGCGAACATAAGTTGCCTCATGGCCTAGCTGGGCCAACTCAAACGGAAGTCTTTTTGTTTCCTAGTGAATCGCTTGACATGTCCCAGCGACAAATTGTTTGGTGCACAACTGGGCATCAGCATGAGAAAGCTTTTCGATGTTGTCTGGAACTTCTTCTTTCAACCTTGGTAACAGTTGCGGAAGACGATTGACCTGTCGCAAGTCCGCTCCTTGAAAGGCAACTCAGTCTATGATGACCGTGACTGCCTATTGATTTTTGCAGATGGACCAGCCAAGGCAACCGGAAGGGGGTTACAAAGAGTGCCCGAGAGCGAGAGGTGGTCTTTGTTACTCGACTTGCCAGTTTCCCCTCGATCTGTGTGGCCGCGCAGTCGTAACTCACTCATTTTCCTTGATGTTGCTGAATACTGCGATCAAAACAGTTGTACGCATGGGCATGTTCACGATGTTGGAGAACAAATGGCTTGCCACGCCGCAGGTGTTCGTGGAGCTGGCATACTTGCCGCCTTCAACTTCCATCTAGGGATGTCGAATGTAAGTGAACATGTGAATACGGTCATGATATATCATGTGCTATAGTGAATATACGCTTTAGTATTGGATACATATAGCCTTGCGCACATACTAAACATGATATGGTTTCATACACTCCGATCGAAAATGCTAGCGCCTGAGTGCATGGTCCAACGCAGCTACTGCATGCAGGTGTACACTTTACATATGCGCATTGATCCTTAGCAATTATCGATCTGAATTGGCATCGTCATGCACTGTTAAAATTGACGGTCCTGTGTTGCATGATGCCCATATCCTGAGAAGCGACCTCAATCAAATGGCCGGCTACATCAATTGAAGGCCACGATTAATAAGTTCAGGCTGATGGCTGACCCATTAAACAATCAGATTGTGCGATCATTTTGCCTCAACTTGAGCCCATTTGCGGGAGTGTTTGCAAGTATGTTTTAAACTCGGAAAAGGTCCCTTGCATAGCTTAGGCTGCTTCAAAGAATACAGTTCAAGATACAAGCGGTTTACGGAGTGACCCAGAATACATTTGCGTCAGATTGCAAGTGTCCGGTGGACCTAGGTCACGTGCGCAGTAGATACAAGCCTCAACAAGTCAACGCACTTGGCTGCAAGGAGATTCAAACAAGGTTTGTTAGTCAGTCTGTAGCCATACCCATGATTCTCAGGAGGTTGCATAGCGCCAGCTCTTGAGTGGACCAAGATTAAGAAAGGGAAGTGTAGAAACCAGTCCGAACTTCCTACACTATTGAAGCAATGAACGGTAACAAGGGTTCAGATGAATGAAGTTACGAAGGTCGACCACAAGATCGACATACTTACTTGTAGATATAGCCGATGATGCCCAAAACAATGCACATCAGAATGATATCGATGCAGAAGTTCCTTGTTGTCCGCATCTGGAAAGAGAGGCAGAGAACTTAAGAAAGGGATTGTGTTAGCAGGAAAGCAACCTTTCAAGCGAGTGCTCTTGGAACACAGCGTTCGATCCTTGCCAGGAGGAACCTGAAGTGCCCTATACAGGGCGAATCCCCGCCAGACAAGTACATGTGCAATGTGCATACGATGAGCGGCAGGAAAACAACACCGCAAGAGTTTGTCCGAGTTTGTATTGAATATCAGACAGTACTGTTGGCGCTTCGGACGAGCTTCAGAATTGACTAGAGAGCAAGTGACAAGAACGGCCTACCTTTAAAACCGTCTCTTTCAGTCTCTTGTTGGTGTTTCGGAGATCCGCGTTGGCTTTGTCAACCTGCACCATGATGAGAAGTCACACAAGGCGTCGAGCTCAGCAACGGCACCCATGAACGGTGTGCCTCTTTCTATCTCTAGCCCAAAGGCGACATGAGCCGACTAGCCATGTATGACACGCTCGTTAAAGAACCGGACCAGAGATCCAGATTAGCAGTGGTCAAACAGCTTCGCGTCCTCAGAGCAAGATTGGTTCCTACCTTCGTCTCGATTTCGTCCACCAAGGGAGCTTGCCTGTCAAGCTCCTGAGGAGCATACAACAAAGGATGTGAGCAGCCAGCAGAAGGACAACAGGGACAGGCCCACCATGAATTCAAGGGCCGAGAACTGCTGAGCACCAGTGCCAGATGCGCACTATGTTACCAATTTGAACGGCCATCAAAATTCTGCTCAAGAGGAAAGACCTGAGCAGTTCAGCAATTCACAAGCTGGAGGGAGTGCGGGTTGACAACAAGCAGTCTCCTTTTAGTGTTAGGACGAGGGGTGTTCAGCTTGCCTCATTGATGTCCTCCGCCATGTTCTTTAATGTTGCAAGTCCTGACGAGATGACGTCAAGGCCCTCATCCTGCAGCACAGCCAGTAGTTTATGAGACCAATGGCAGAAGTACTCGTCTGTAGACACTGAACCATTCAACTAGTCAAGCAAAAGAGGCCCCAACCTGGACAATCGGTGTGGCCAACTCACCTGCTTCATTTTTCTCATCTCAAACTCTTGCCGGAACCCCCGTGACTCTTCTGAATGCTGGTACTGCTCGGGGTTCAACATGATGTCCTCTGCAGAAAAGAAGACGAGCAGCTCAATTTTGCCGCTTTGGAACTCGTTTCCCACCAAACATCTACTTCTCTCTAAATGCCCTTCTTCCAGTAGGAGCAAACAAGATCAGAGAATCTCGTTTACTAAACTTGCCGAGGCTGGACACAAAACTGATCATCTCTCACACAATCTCAAGCTGAAACAGCTACCAGGCTGGGCATGTCCTTGCCTGGATTGATTGCGTCAATTTTGATCTCCCTGATGCTTCCAGGCCCCTTCTGGGCACGGCGGTTGTTGATCGTCACACCATCAGGCACTGCGTCTATTTTTGCAGCCAGAGCTTTGACTTGTTCTGGCCGCTGGGCGAGCTCCTCCTTCGGTACCCCCTTCACCTGCAGAAGAGCACAGACCCAAAGTTTTGAAACCATGCTTCCTGTCAATTGGGCCGCTCAGAGACTGGAGGACACACGTCAAGCAGGGGGATGGCAAGCAGAGCTTCAGGCATCATGCGGACCGTCGTGATGCTGACGCGGCCTGCTTCTTCACATGTAAAGTCACCAAAGTGAGCAAGAAGGACCCTGTTGCCTCTGAGGCCGCCAACTTTTCGCCCCAGAAGCTGCGAAAGTGCGTGCAGGAGTACCGCTGATGCTTCACCTTCTTGTACGCCAGCTTTTCAAGCTTGGGCAGCTCCACCTTCAGTGCCGTCTTTTGCCGCCTCACTTCCGCATTCAGAGTCGCGACAATTGCCCGGTTCTTCTCAATTGATGCATCATTAGCTTTCTGCAGTAGAAAACCCCACAAATCGGAAGGGCGTGAGAAGAGTCCACAGGCACAGCATCATCTGTAAGACATATTGGAACAATTGCACAAACTGCAGAATCGATTGGTGCCTACTGCGGTTTGCTGCAGATCTGCCCTGGCTAAACCGAAGGGGCCTCCGGAGGAGGACCGCCCGCCTGCAATGCGCTCACCTGCATAGCCACCTCCAGATCCGACTCTATCTGAGAGAACAACCGCACGTAGTTGTCGCTGCTGGACATGGCTTCCTGCTTGTGCTTATCAACGTCATATTTCTCATACTTTTTACACAGCGCATCAACTCTTGTGATGATATCTATGGTAGCCATTCTCCGCGCTTAAGAACCAGGCAACGTACTCCTGCACTATAATATTAATTGTGCGCACAGAGCGAAAAGGATGTGATGCAGATTGCGATTGGGTAGTCTTGCAGAATTACTGTTGCAATCTTTCTTTCAATTGGCGCTCGTCAAGATCAAGCAAGCGAGGCGTCCCCAATGTGCGCTGGCCCCCTCTTTCAGCAGTCAAGACTTCTGATCAAGAGCTGCTGCTTCTGAGATCCTTAATAGTCTTTTCTGCGCAGGATCAATATCAATGCAATATACCGTAGCAGGCGGGCCTCCACATCCAGCAGCCTGATCGTAGAGCTAGCGCGGATTCTGAAGAAGCAAGACGGAGTGCAAACCCTAAAACATGCTAGCCCAGAAGGAGTGTTTGGCGTCGCCACCCTTCGGGCCACTGTAGCAGCAGAGAACGTTCGCCGCCTTGCAATTTGAGCCGTCGGATTCGTTGTGCACCGTTGGATAGACACAGTGTGGATTTTAGGACCAGCTGGCTTGACTCGAACTCGGGTGTCGGCCGAGAATGTGGCTCGCCGTTTTGGCGCGCGGCGTACTGGCGACTTCTGTCACGCAAAGCTAGATCTGGCTCCTACCCACGCTAACTCGAGCAGCAGCATCATCATGCGGGCATTCTCAATCAATGCTTCCATTCTTTCCTCTTCCTCTTGTGCTTTTGGCGGGGTCTCAGAGACGACATCTGTTCCGGAAGTCTAAGATCCGCAGTGTGCACACATTCGGCAAAGGATTCCTGATTTGGTAGTGTATACCGTAGAAGAAGTTTGTGCCCTCTTGCTTTCGCTTGAGCAATTCAGGTGAATCTCTAAGATCAGCGTTACATTGAAGTGCAATGGCTACAGACAGCAAACCGAAACCAGCATTGTCACCTCTTTGGACAACAGTGAAGCCGTTTCTCAATGGAGGCTTGTCAGGGATGGCAGCCACATGTGTCATTCAGCCAATTGACATGGTCAAGGTACGTGTTCCTTTGTCTTGCTGGTAATGATCCAAGTTGCTAGAGATCTGACCGTTCTTGTAGCAGAGTTGATATGAGCACTTGCTCAGACGGCCTTCTTCCTGGATCTCAGAAATGCCTACTCGACATTCCCCCCGCAAGTGATGGATGCCCAGGTCGATTGCTTTCATCTTGTTGGTCTTGTAACTTAAACGCAACGTAATCCAATTTTCTCATCACATTATGGTGCACAGATCTCAAAATTGCAGATTGTTCACATTAGGATGACGATCATCTGGATGAGTTTCCGGCTCTGCCTCCAGAATTTGCACTCGGTATCTCGTCAAGAAAGCTCATTTATGCCATTACGTCCCCTGACTATCTATGGTGTTTGAACCTGGCTCTTTGCAGGTGCGAATTCAACTCACCGGTGGAGGCCCCATTGGTGTAGCGAAGGAGATCATGGCCAAAGAAGGGTTTGGTTATTTCTACAAGGTGATTGATTGACAAGAAAACTTGAATAAGAGCAAATCAGTGCTCACTGTGCATTGCTTGCTTGACATGTGTGGACAGGTCCGGATTCAGTTGGATGGAGGAGGCCCTGTTCAAGTGGCGAAAAGTATTATTGCTAAGGAAGGATTTGGAGCCATGTACAAGGTACGGATGGCTGCCAGCGCCACTCCAAAATGCTTATTGACGAGTGCATGCAAGTCCAGTTCAAAAAGTTGCATTTGTTGCAAATGAGAATTGCGCTAAACATCGGGCATCACAAAAGTGGACGAGTAGACTGCAGATTGTCCTTTCCCTCCAATCATGAAGGTTTTCTTGGTGCTATTTGCAGGGTCTCTCTGCCGGACTTCTCAGACAGGCCACCTATACGACCGCCAGGCTTGGATCATTCAGGTATGAATCTGTGTCAGCTGTTTTCTCCGGGCACCCGACACTGCTTCAATCGCATTGTTGGATAGTTGGCTGTATGAGTAGACTCTGACTTTGTCCCGTTGACAGGACTTCATCACATGTAGAGTCTTCTGCTTGAGCAGCTGCATTCAGGAGGGTTTGTGCTGATGGAGGCGCTGTTCGGTTGCAGGATTCTGACCACAAAAGCCCAGGCTGCAAACGACGGCAAGCCCCTCCCTCTGTATCAGAAGGCGCTGTGCGGGCTGAGCGCTGGTGCCATCGGGGCATGTGTCGGAAGCCCCGCCGATCTCGCTCTTATTCGGATGCAAGCCGATTCCACTCTTCCTCTTGAGCAACGGAGAAACTACAAGAATGCCTTCCATGCCCTATCGAGGATCACAAAGGACGAAGGGGTGTTGGCTCTTTGGAGGGGAGCCGGGCCGACCGTCGTCAGGGCCATGGCACTCAACATGGGGATGCTCGCTTCATACGATCAAGCCGCTGAGAGTCTCAAAAGCCAAGGCTTGTCTGAAATTCAAACCGTCTTGGGTGAGCCACCATCCTCTCTGCTGCAGCTTCTCTCAGATAAAGGTGCGCATGCCGGAGTTGACCGCTTGGATCTTGACCTTGAGAGGGCTTTGTTGTTTTGGGGCTCGCTGTTCTCTTCACGAAATGGTTAAAACAGATATCCAGAAGATAGGCGGAGTTTACCCCCAATGAAAAAACGGTCATCCTTCAGTCTGCGGGACAAGTGACAAGTCGGTGGCATATAAGTTGGTGAAATCTTTGTTATTGGCAAGAGAGTCCGGCACTCCATCTTACGGCGGTGGGTATCATGCTGTATCGGGAAACGTGTAGCATTTGTAGGGAAGGCGGGAGTGTAGGCAGACTCAGACGATTTCAACTGGTGGGATAGCGATTCTGTCAACAACTTCTGTATACAACATCCTAAAAGCAGCCAGCTCTGGCAGCCAGGGGGAAAAGCAGCTAAGAAGGAGGTCTTACCATGTGGATAAGCCATCTGGAACCTGCCTGTTTGCAGGTGCCAGCGCCATCTCCGGCTTCTTTGCCGCCGCCTGCAGTCTGCCCTTCGACTACGTGAAGACCCAGATCCAGAAGCAGCAGCCAGGGCCTGACGGGAAGCTGCCCTTTGCGGGTTCGTTGGACTGTGCCGTCAAGACGATTCGGCAATATGGTCCTCTGAAGTTGTACTCTGGGTTCCCCACCTACGTTGTGCGGATAGCGCCGCATGTGATGGTGAGTGTGGTGTTACTGGCTTGGAAACATTGATGCAGAAGGCTCATATGTTCTGGGAAGAAAGAAGTCGATCCTGTCATGGCAAAGGCTTGAATGTCCCAAAAGGACCCAATCGCCTACTGTCCGAGTCTCATCTTTGCATCGCCTGTAAAAGTACCAAGCGCAATTGTGTTTTGTGAGTCTGGCACCAGTGTATGCTGCATTAATTGCTTATAGTGAGTCTCTGGTTTTTGCTGATTGCTGTTGCTGTCGTCTGACGCGACAATTCTTGGTTTTCTGCAGTTCACCTGGCTCTTCCTCAACCAGATCCAGAAGACGCAGAAGAATGTTGGGTTGTGATGCAACGGTGAGCTCGATCAATTGTTGTGGATTCTTGTGGGACAGAATTGGAAGGTCAGAGAGGATTGGAAGGAGGTTTGGTGAGCATGGAATGAATACATTTGGTAGCCAGGAGGTTCAATAGGCTGTACTATGGTCAACCTTTCGGAGGTGAAGCGAAGCTTTGGGTTGCCATCCTGTGTTTTGTTCAACGAAGAAACGGCCGACACAAGGGGGGATCGGCGTACATTGTTACAACAGGAATCGACTTTGACAACCAAGAGGGGTGCTTTACTTTTGCTCTGGTAATAACGGGGGGGCGAACAAGCTTAGGCGACAGGTCCCAAATATAGAAACGATTCAAGGCACGGATCTGCTTGCCGAATAAGGAACATTGACACGCTTTATTTCTTACTGAATCCTACGAGTCTCATTTCCTGGGGCGTCTCGAGTTACTACCGCATACTTGACGAATATGCATGGTCCGCATTGTTTGACTCGTCCGAAGGCACAGTAACTCCCGATGATATCGACTAGAGCAAGTGCCTTGGCAAGCCGACCGTGCCTCTGAAGTCGATGGCCAACTTTGCGTGTGTTCTCCGAAAGCCACTGCTTCGCAGCCAGGAAACATGCATCCATCTACTAAGTCTTGTATAGCGACGGTAGTGAGTTCTATACTCTGTAGGCCATATGGAGATCTCAAGCTGAACTTTTAGCTTATAAGTGCGAACTTAACGGCATTACTTTGATCAAGTCCAACCGTCTTGTCCTCATGCACATGACTCTGTTATTCGGCTTTCAATATTTGATTGAAAGCCCGATTTAACTCAAAAACTGGGCTCCTCCAATATGTCCTTTATACCAATTGAATTCCTAGTATACATATAGAGTACATACTAATGCTTAACGCGTGGCGTGCAGCCTGAGCATATGCATATGGATTCCACTCAATACATATCTCACACTGATGGGGTGGCCAGACTGAGAGTAATTAGCTGAAGGGCTCGAGCCGCTGCCGCCATGCAGGCCGCAGCTAGCATTCCCACGCGGGCGGCGCTCATTTCATGCTGTATGCATATGCCGGATCTCCCTGTACGGGCCCAAGTCACTATCATAATAACTTAATTGACTCGAGTAACCATTTTATCAGATCGTAAACATGCATGCATGTCGATCTGCCAATGATGCGAACTCAACACGGATGATGATCAAAATAAGAAGAACTTTTATTCCGAAGTGATCCAATCATGCATCCATTTGAACGCCGGATGGGACCAATTGATCGACTTAGCGTCCCTTAGAAGAGGATTGACTTAGCGTCCCTTAGAAGAGGCACGTCCATTGCGCTCTGTCAAACTGGACTTTCTCCAAAAGTCTCTCTCTTTTGTCAGTTGCTGCTGCCCGGAGTACATGGAATAATCGTGGATATATCGAGAAACCTTAGGCACAAGCTACCTATGGTGGGTACCGGCCGAGTCGATTCCGACTCCGGCCGCCACAAAATCGATTTAGCGCGTATCGAATATCGTCAGTGTTACCGGCGGTTCGCGTCACGGCTACTCAGGTTTATGTTACTCGGGCGGTACAAATACTCAGAAAAATTTTGCCGGGCCGTAAGTAAGTGTGAGGAGATTCTTAGACAGTGTCAGGTTTTACACTTTGAGAGGAGCATCAAATTGGCACGCAAAGAAGAGCCATATGCAGCTTATAAAAACCTCTGACAAGCAGAAAAAAATGTTGGGAGAGCGTCATGAAGGCTCCTTCGAAGCTCCAACATCTTGTTATGTTGAGGACAAATCGGAAGAAGCACCATCGTGGCTGCAAAGTTGGCCGCCATTGCTTGCTTCTAAAAAGCGCCATTCCCTACACTCCCGTTTCCATCTTCTGCACTCTCCTTTCAAGTTAGGTACCGCGGTACTCTAGGGTGGTTCGAGTCGGAACTTCCGATCGAAACCATGATTTTCAAATTTCACGTACGGTCAGACTTGATCGGTACCGTACCGCCGGAAACTCCGGAAGTTTCTGACGATCGGAATGTCAGACAGATTCTAATTTATGAACTCGGACCGGATTCTCAAGTACCGGTCTGCACGGTCGTCAGTACCGCGTACAGTAATTGTCGCGACGCGACACACCGGTGATTCAAATTTGTGACCGGATCGTCGCGCGATCGAGACCGCCGATACCCACCATAGGTTGCTTGTGGGGTTGAATGCATGGACTTCTGCTGCGCAGAACATTGTTCAATGTACAGCTTGGAACGCTTGCGTCGGTGCCGCCCCTGACGAGCTTCTCTGCCCGTTTGCCAAAATCTCTGTGATATCTGATCCGGCCTGCGCTCTCGCATTGTCGTTCCTTAAGATCCGCGCTCTTGCAATATGTACTCGAGGGTAAACCGTACTACCAGAAGGCGCTCCTTGGTGGCAGTAAACTTGCATCGTTAACAAGACAGAACTCGAGCTAGATTGGCACCAAATTCCTCCTTTGCGGACTGCAGCACAGGCGGATCTCCTACGTACATATCAAAGAAAGCCTTGCAGAACACCCCACTCTCGATGACGCCAATCTGTTTCCCTGCAACTGCAAGCATCACAAAAGAGGTTGTTGAAGAGAGCCCTAATGATCAGAGGACTCTGGATGCATGTAGCATAATTTGAAACCTGTTGCAGAACAAAGCTGTCGTTCAGCCAATTGAGAACCAGCGCAGTCAACAGGAGGTGAAAACACGTCTCCTGTGTACGCTTGCACTGAATGACAGCGGTGCATCAAGAGACATTCCGTCCGGGTCTTCGTTCTGATACGAAGACCAACGATGCACAGCGGTTCCAAGAGATCCCTCAGTGCAGATCCGGCTAATCCCGCTTACGTTATGAAGGTTGTAGCCACAATATTAACGAGCGTGAAGGACGCAAGCAAGACTCACTTCTGGTGGAGAGCTTGCCCCCAGGATGCCATCGAAAGTCGATCGTTGTTCCCTGAACGGGCATGTGGACGGACATGTCAAAGTCTACTCCATCAGAATGACCAAAGTTGCTGAGAGCCAGCTCACCATCAATAAGAGTAACAAACAATCAACACCGGCTTTCCAGCACCATCGAACTGTAGGAAACCATACAGAGCAGCGTAAGGAAAAAAAAAGCCTTCACGAATATTGTTTAACAATTGCAGGAAGAGAACGAGCTCACCCTCTTGATTTTCATGGGCTTGTTGAAGTAACTTGAGAACTTGACCAACTCTTCATGATCCTCCCGGCCAGTAATCTGCAACAAAAGACAATCACATTAGACCAGGAGCAGGTGAATCTTGAGGCTAACAGTACTCAAAAACAGATGAGCTGATCAGCGCTCTCTCGATTGCACAGACAGAGACGAGGTGGTGCAACAAAACCAGTCTGGCTCAGCCTGGTTCATCATGACGTGCAAGTATTCAGACGGGTTGCTCTGACCTTGAAAAGGCGCCTCTTCAAAGAGCCTTCGAACGCCTCCTTCACTTTGTCCATGGTCAAGCCCTTGAAGTGCACGATCAACCGAACGGTCAGATCGCACTCGTGCCTGCAGGTGCGACAACAGGAGGAAGAGAAACATCAACGCACTCTCTTCGCCTCTGGCACAGTATTGCAGACGTTGGTTTCAAGTAGAGAGGGGACGCATCCTGACAATCCAATCCCCCAGTGCTGTCTAGGTCGACCACAGCCAGACCCAAGCATTGGACGGAGTAGCAAAGTGCCTGGTTGACACATCAAGATTGTCAGGAACAGTGAAAACAGAAAGCAGAAAATCAAATATCTGAAGATGGACAGAAGGCTTCTTGAGTTGCGAAGGTCCCGAAGATGCAGGACTTACGTCAACACATCTTGGTAGAATTGCGGGTTGTTCCTCAAGTCCTCTGGAGATACTCCCTTATACTTGGAACCAAATTGAGAGCGGATCAGGTTTGGGTCAGCATCTGCATGGGCAGACCGGCATGTCAGATACACTTGACAATCTATGTCCCAAGTTGACGAACGACGAAAGAGCACGAGTGAAATCAAACTTGAAATCTTACTAAGGTTATTTTCATCGAAACAGCAACAGGTCCAGGTTCCGGCTTCGAAGCAGGCTTCAGAAGTGTGGCCAATTTAATAAAGGCTATCTATAAGGCTGGGAGAGGATCAATCTCAAGCTACGGTTTTCCATCAGATTAAGCACACGCCTCTGCTGATCAGAAGATCATCATTTTCAGAAGCAGGTCATCATCAAGGATCAGCTGACTTACATAAGCCAAATGCATATATCCTCAGGTTCTTCATCCTCAGGAGACTCTTGCTGCGATGGCCGACTCCAAGCAATATCTGCAAAAACAAGGAATCTGTTAGATACTTACACCCCGTCATAGGAGTTGGAACAGAAGAGTTCAACACCCTAAGAAAGATTCAAGCGGACTTGCAATGACCGGCTGGAATATAGCAGGAGAACCTGATCGCACGTATGAGGAGTGACCACTGAAAACTCACCTTGCAGTCGGCACCACTCCCATCGCAAATAACAGACTCAAACTCAAGCTTTGTCATTGGCTCGACCACTTTTCCCTCTGCCGTAGCTGTCAGGCCCTTTTCTGAGGCGAGACAACTGAGAGCCTCCTGGACGTCACTTTCCAAAACCCTGCACATAAATAGAAAAACAATTCCCTCAGAGACCCAAAGCTAATGAGATATACTGCTACAGAACAAAAGGGCATGACTGAGTTCAGCCTTCAAAGCTGCCTTTTCAACACCGTTGTTCACAGCAATAATTGACAGCAGAAGATACATTTCAATGGGTTGCAATTGCAGGGAGTAGTACAGATTGCACTGTAATGTAGCCTCGGTCTGATGTGCTGCAAGACTGGACGATACACATATCGCAGAGATCTGCGGATCTAGTAAATGTTCTGGAAGCTGTCTGCCTTACCTCAGATCTCCCATCGGAACAACCACTGCCAGACATGCCAGGGCCGCTGACACCCCTTTCTTGACACTGCTCATCTCTGCCCAAGGAAGCTTTGAAAAGCCAGCAGCAGCCTCAGCCGCCTGAACAGCAAGTGCTTGAAATGGGCCATGACCATGATTGCGAACCTCGCGAGTGGCATTCTGCTGGAAGTTTTGATGGGGCTGGTGAGGATGATGAGTTTGCACTGCAACCAAGCGTGCGATCAGAAGCGTATGCTTTGCTACCCAGGGAATTGACATGGCCTCTTTCCAGTAGTGACTTGGCCTGAGAGCCCAGTTGTCAGCCGCTCCAGGTGCGTAGCGTGAGCGTGCAATGTCACTCCATCTGCCCTCCATCGACGACCTTCCGTCGCCCACCCTTCTCACACAATGGTATGGTTCGCATCCGCCTTGAGGAGCATTCCTCTGCAAGCTATTGCTTGCCCGTGAGCTGAATCAAACTGATCGACAGCGGATCAGCAGGGCTCACAGGGATGTGCTCTCGCTGAACTTGAGTGGGCAATCATGCCGCAATGGGCATGCGCAATTCTGATGTGGGCAGCAAAACCTTGCGGAAGGGACCAGAGATTCCATGCACATGCACATTGCATGTGCCTGAATCTAGCTCCCCCGGCGGCCGGCCTCCCCGCAGGGCGCTCATTCACACCCACGAATCGGAGAATCTGGGCCGGAAGATGAAACTAGGGTTCACAAACCCTAAGCTGTGCAACCAACACCTGCTGCAGTGTTGATCAACATCAGCTAGCGGGCCCAGGGCGCATATGGAAAACACCTTGTAGAGCAAAATTCTAAAAGATCTTTGCACTTCGTAGCGCCAGCTAGGTGGTCCTTCTGGTCAAGCAACATTCGTAAGAAAATGGGACCCTTCATCGTAGTTGCTTTCTTGCTGCTTCTGTCGCTTGACTCTGTTCTTACGAAAACTGTGGTTTCCGACATCCCGCTCCAGGCGTCTGAAAATGTGATTGGATACGCTCTAACAGCGGCGTGCGTATCCAAGGATGCGCGGGAGCTGCGTGCGCGCATCGAGCTGCAGCAAGATGGTCTGCAAGAGTATGGGCCCAGCTTCACGGACTTGGTGCTGCACGTGAAGTGAGGCGTCGCCATATCCCTACCTTGTCCTCATTCAGAGTGTAATAAATTGGCACAAAAGCGTTGACTTGGGAAGTGATTCAGCTAGGTGGAGCAAATGATGGAAACTTGCACCACCACCACAATCATCACCTAGACCACCATTGGACATCTACGGAATGGATACATATTTTGAATGCAATCAATGAAAGCAGATTCTGGAACCAATGACTCCCCACTCCCCCCCAACGAGATGCTGTTTTCAATTGAATCAAAGCACTGCTGTTTCCGACTACTGGGCAGTTTGGCAACCATACCAGCATGCTTTTATATGAAGCCCGCAGTCACTGTTCACTTCGTTTCACAACTTGACGCTTGGGCAGTCTTGCAATTCTTTCATGCGACCCGATACTCAGCTTCGCACTCTTTCCAGGTGGGACTCTGGCGAGCGCCTGCATGTCCACCTCACCACCCCTGACACCAGATGGGAAGTTCCACAGGACCTGCTACCCCGGCCGCCTCTTCCACTGGGGGCATGTGATTTACAACCCGCAGAATCTTTTCGAACGTTCAGGCTGGAGAACTCCTCGCCGCTTGCTTTCAGCTTCACAAGGTAGGCATCTGTTTTTTTTCTTTATAGCATTCCTTCCACAGTGCATTTACATGCTTGTTCTGGTTACAGGCAGTGGACTGCTGCTTAAAAGGGGCCCCTTTTCATGAGTTAGTGGTGCACTCATCGTCTGAACCCAATCCTCTATTTCTATAAACATCTGGTGTCAAGTACTAGAGCAAAGCTTTTCGGCCACTTTATTTCTCCCGCCCCTGGACGTGCAGGGCTCCTTTTGGCTTTGCCGTCTCGCGTCGTTCCAGCGGCGAGGTCCTGTTCAACAGCACCCCCCCCATCGGCCCCGGTTCCTTCTTCCCCCTCGTCTTCAAAGACCAGTACCTGGAAATCTCCACTTCGCTTCCCCCCTCCGCTTCTCTCTACGGCCTTGGAGAAAGCACGCGCCCCTCCGGACTGCGACTGCTCCCCAACGAGACATACACCCTGTGGGCCTCTGACATCTCCGCCTCTAGTCGCAACATTCCGCTGTACGGAGTCCATCCCTTTTACACGGACCTCCGGGAAAATGGTGCCGCGCACGGAGTTCTTTTTCTCAACAGCAACGGCATGGATGCTAGTTTGACAGCGGTCGCACTCAGCCTGCGCGCAATCGGGGGGGTGTTTGACCTGTACTTCTTTGCTGGCCCTGACCCCCTGGCGGTGGTGCGTCAGTACACGGATCTGGTGGGCAAGCCGGCGCCAGTGCCGTACTGGGCCCTGGGGTTCCACCAATGTCGGGTGAGAAAGTCCCAGAGCTTGCATCGGTCTTCGAGAAATACGAAACAGACCGACGAATAATAAGGGTCACATGCGGCCAGAAATTTTGGATTGCAGACGCTGAAGAGTTGCTCTGGGCGAATATGCGTGCATGACACTTCAAGAAGTCTTCCGCCGTGAAACATATGAGGAATTTAAAATAGCAGCCAATTTTGCCCAGTACATGTTACTTCACTAAATGTCCTCGTCTTTGTGACCTCAGTGGGGCTACAAGACCATAGAGGAGCTGCGCCAGGTGGCGGCCAACTATTCGGCGGCGGAGATCCCCCTGGACGCCCTGTGGTCCGACATTGACTACATGGACCGTTATGAGGACTTTACCACCGACCCCGTCAACTATCCTGCGGAGGAGATGCGCGACTTTGTGGCGGGGCTGCACGAAGCAGACCAGCACTACGTCGTCATCATCGACCCAGGTATGCCTCCTTCGTATGCTAAAACTGGGTCGAAGATGCGATCTCCCATCTCTTCTCTATTTCTCTGGGAGACGCTTCATCTAAGAGGTAGCTTGGATGGAAGTTCTGCCGATTTGCATATCGATGGTTTGTTTTGGCAGCCCACACCAACCAGCGGCGTTCATGGCAGAAGCAGCGGTGGACTGTAAGCCAATCATGACGCGACACTTGGGCCAGCCGTAAGACCCAATTAGCAGTCTGAGGCTTGGCATAGAATCGTCCGAACTGATACAAAGTGGTCAGTGGACTGGTAAGGCCGGTTGGGTGGAGGCAGCCAACCCAACGAATCCCATTCCCATACGCGCAGGCATCAAGGTGGAGGCGGGTTACCCCGCGTACGAGGACGGCCTGCTCGCTGACGTGTTTGTGCGCTACCCCAATGGGACGCCCGCGCTGGGCCAGGTGTGGCCGGGGCCCGTGCACTACCCCGACTTTGTGATGCACCCGGGGACCGTCGACTACTGGGAGAAGCAGCTGGCGGCTTTCCACCAGGTTAGCAGGACGAACCGGGCGGACGGTTCGTGAAGGCTTTTGGGTTCTCAAATTCCAGGGTTTGTGGGGATGGTTTGACGATGGTCGGAGCGCGAAAGATAGCATGTTCTTGACTTGTTGAACGAGAAGTAGCTACTCTCCAGTTCTATATGAACTCTCTGCCTAGTCGAGTCTGCTTTTGTGTTTCCGCTTTGACAACGAGCCAGTACACCTTTTCAGCAAAGCCATCTGCGAGCCTCGATTTGGCAGAATCAGCTGGTGACCACATTCCCAGTTATCAGTCACGACGTCCCAGAAAAGAACGAGTTGCTGCAACTTGCACGACTCCTTCCCAGGCCTCGTCACGCTCTGACGTCATTCCTTGACACCGCCAGGTGGTTCCGTACGACGGCCTGTGGATCGACATGAACGAGGCCTCCAACTTCTGCTCCGCCGTGCACTGCGCCCTGCCCGACCGGCCGCACCCAGGCTCCATCACCGACTGCTTCCTCGACTGCTCCGACGAGAACGCGACGACGCTGGACGTGCCGCCCTACAGGTGACGCGGCACTCCTGCGCATTGTTGAAGAATTACCGGCCCGATTACGTGCAAGCTGTTAGAAGATAGTGTGCCGGTGTTTGCCGATCCTTGTGGATTGCCTGTTTCCTTAGACGCCAGAGCTGTCTGCTTTCACGGACAATCGCATTCGCTGCCATACCAACCTGAAGCAGTGAGACGTGACATGCTGTCATGCACCCCCTCTCCTATTCGAGCGTTGCGTGATTGTTGGCTGCCAGCATTTTCCTCACATCTAGGAGAGTAGCCAACAATTCATTTCGGACTCGGCAAGCTCTCCGCACCGGATCTGATGTGACTTACGTAATTATCCGCAAAGGCGGCCTGTGTGCTGACGTCGTGGTGACGTGCAGGCTGAACATTCTGGGCGACCACCACAGTCTGGGCACCAAGACCATCCCCATGAGCGCGCTCCACCACGGCGGCGTCCCTGCATACAACGTGCACAACCTGTACGGCTTCGCGGAAGGCCGCGCCACGCACCTCGCCCTCCGGTGCGGCAACTCATCCCATTCGGCTCGGCCCAAAGCTGCTACATCTGAGCTCTCGTGCGGAGGATGTTTGCATAGGAGGGATTGTTGTTTGCCATAAGTTGGCAGTCCATTCCGTGACGCTTGCATCTCTGGTTTCATGGCGAGGACAACGGTGAAAGCGCTTGCAAAAAGTACCCGTTTCCTTTTCAATTTCGCGGCGCTATTAGTCTGCCAGTTGCACCTCCTACGCCAATACAGTACGACTTACTCCATGCGCATTGCGATCCGCTGTCTCGTGCAGCAACATTTCCGGCAAGCGGCCGTTCGTTCTGTCCCGGTCGACGTTCTCGGGGGCGGGCGCGTGGGCCGCGCACTGGTCGGGCGACAACACCGCCACGTGGGACGACCTCAGGTAAGCACGGAGCTCATAGAACCTTCAATTTAACCCCTAGCAGAACAATTTCTTGATCAATGAGACTCCTTCTATCTACATGGCCTTGAAGGGACTGATTAGAGGATTCGAAACGTAAGGTGGGATTGAAACTCCCTTCGGAGCAATTTTTGTGCAGTTCAACACTAAAACAGCCCCGTTATGGTCAAGCTTCCACCGCATCAGCCTCCGCTCGCACGTTTTGCTAGGCTGCCGACGTCTTACTTTAGCGATCGAAGCTCCGCCTTTTGTAGATTTTGAGCAAGGGCTACTACGTTGTTGCTCAGACCTGTTCCTTGTACGGGGGTTTGACCTGCTCCACTTGGTTGCCTGCGCAGGTACTCGCTGGTGAGCATATTGAATATGGGCCTGTTTGGCGTGCCGCACGTGGGCGCCGACATCTGCGGCTTCGTGGGCACTACCAGCGAGGAGCTGTGCCTGCGCTGGATCCAGGCCGGCAGCATGTACCCCTTCTCGCGGGACCACTCCGACATCAAAGCGGTGAGGGGTGCGCTTTTGTGGCGTAGTCGAGAGCGGTCAGAGACTAGGGCGCTTGTCTTGGGGTGGTGCAGGGCTCTGGTTTTGGTGACGCTTGAAACTGGAGCTCGGATGTAAGAAGTACACGTCTGTTCGACAATGCTTCCCTTCTTGGACGGACCCTGATTGGATGGTCGTCAGCACTAGAGTAGAAACCGGAAGCCGGCTTTGTATTGCGTAAACCGACGTTGCCGCTCCAGAGAGTGCTGAACCGTCTACTTGGAGGCAGCAAAGGACAAACAAACGCGTCACAGGATTATTTAGTGTTTGCTACGTTGGATCAAGCGCTTCTCCACTGGCCTCGCGCGTGACCCCCGTCTCGGCTCAAGCGTTCTCCTGCGCGTCCTCACACCATACCAGCGCCTCCGCTTTCCAGGAACCGCAGGAGCTGTACCGCTGGCCGTCCGTCACCGTGGCTGCGCGCGCCTCCCTCGCGCTGCGCTACCGCCTCCTCCCCTTCCTCTACACCCTCACTTTCCGCGCGCACCGCACTGGCGAACCCATCGCGCGCCCGCTCTTCATGGAAGTCCCGGGGGATCCCCGCGCCCGCGCCATCGACGCGCAATTCCTGCTCGGGCCGGGGCTGCTCGTGAGCCCGGTGCTATCCGCCGGGGCATCGACGGTTGATGCGTACTTTCCGCAAGGCACGTGGTACAGCTTGGTAGACGATTCCCGGGTGGTGTCACCGAAAGGGACGCGAGAGGTGCTGCCCGCGCCCCGCGACACGCCGCCGCCGGTTCACGTTCGGGGGGGGACCATCGTGCCCATGCAGCAGGGGGGTATGACGGTGGCGGCCGCACGGAAGACCCCGTTCACAATTTTGGTCGCCCTTCCGGATGCCTCCACGCTAGGCGAGCATGAATATTTACGATCGTCCGGGCCTTGCTTGCCCGGGGAGACGCTCGGTTTTGCGAATACTTTGCTGCAGCTCGAGCCGGAAAACGAGATTCCGGCCGGGTCTGCGTTCGTTTGCGCTGCGGGAGACCTGTTCTTGGACGGTGGCGAGGACCTGGAGATGAAGGTCGCTGCGCTGACGTCGACTTACGTCACGTTCCGGGCAGCGGCTGTCGCCGGCGCAGAGACTGGCGTCCTCTCATCATTGGTCGAGTACGGCCAGTTTGCGGAACGGGAGGGGTATATAGTTGACGAGGTTGTCATTCTAGGTGTTGAAAGCCGGCCGAAGGTCCTCTTTGTCAACGGGCAACCAGCAGGTAAAGACGTGGTGATCAAATACGATGGTGAAGGGAAGAAGCTTGAGATGTCACACCTAGGACTGCCGCTGTCAGAGCCTTTCCACCTCCGATGGGCAGCGTCTACGGTCGACCTTCCTGAGGACTCAGGTAGGTCCCAGCAGTAGAGGTTGATTTTCTCGATTATGATCCGCTCTGTTGTTAGGAGAGTGTGATGAAAGTCAGTGCATAGTGCGATAGCAGAGGGAAACCCAGGCGACTGTCAATGAATCAGCAGCAAGGGTATACTATATGCAAGCTGAGCACCGCAGCGGCCCGGCCGGCATCGTTTCATATCCTTCGACACTGATACAAGTGAATGAGAAGCTTTGCTTTTTACAGATAGGACTCAATAAAAGCTCCATTAGACTTTACGTAGTGTATACTTGCAAGCACAGGTGAGGTGGTTGATTGCGGGCCCTTACATTATCGCAGCACGTTGGCGCACGTACGGTACGCCTGGCAGATTGCCAGTTACAATTGCACCCCGGGCCCGCCACTGTCGACGGTCCAGGCCATGGCATGCACTCGGAAATCAATTTTTCTATCGGATATAGAAGTCCAATACTGACTCAGTTGCGCTCGGGTGTAGAGCTTACCATCCAATCCTGTACTCATCGATGCCTTTGCGCGCCTCGAGCTCTAGTCATGGAATGCAATCTATGGCTTGGGTCTATATGGCGGCGCGACTATTGAGGCCGGCGGCGGGTTGCGCAAATTAAGGCCAGCATGGCATATATATGCAATCATCCAAATGATAAAGGTATATGCATGCCAGGGATTGTGCACATGATCACATGTGTGAGTCTGAGCTTCACATCAGTCCATTCTATGAGCTCGATGCCTGCAATTGATGCCCGGCCCGGCAGCTAGATGCAGCTTCGGCCGGGCCAAGCTGGCACGAGCTGCTCCACCCGCACTGAATTTACCATGCGAACACCATGCGGCCCAGCTCAGCATGAGTTTTCCGATGACCATGTCGGACCATGTTTTGTAAACGGACAGGACGACTATGCTCAGAAATATTGATGGCGTCCTGTTCAACACATGATGTTTTCTCCCTTGATGACTGTCAATACTGACCCTCAGCGAAATACCGTCATGCTCGCACGTGACCGGCACACTCCTATAAGCGCAAATAAGCCCTATGGTGCCAAACGTTCGATCTTCCACTCGCCATCGGATTGCGTGTACACTAGCCTGCGTTCAAAGGGAAAGTATCACATGCTTCAGCCTCTGCGTGCACGGGCAATAGAAAAGCTCACGAGGTTACTCAAGCTCGCAAACGCTGACCCATTCCGTGAGCAACAACCTGTGAAACAGAATTGAGACAACCAGGAATGTCTGCACACGGATGAAGTTTCACCAGGAGCCATTAGTATTGGGTTCAAGATTGGACAAAATGAAGAGAAATGCCCAAGACAACATGAACGGTGAAGCAATAGTAGATTCAGGACGCCCGAGAACCGCACCTGTCGTGCAGCCGGCTGGGCCGCCCCTGCCAGAACTCGATCCGCTGGGGCCGCAACCGGAATCCGCCCCAGGTTTCCGGCCGGGGCAGCTCCTTATCTTGGTACTCCGCCTCTAGTTGCTTGTACATGTCCTCCAAGGTCGACCGGCTGGGGACCACCGAGCTCTGGGCACGCCAGCGGACGTGGAAAAGGTGAACAACGCTTACAGGCGGCGAAAGGTTGCCTTGAAAAGCACGAAAATGAAACCTTCCGGACTCAACAATGCCCCCTAATGAAAGGCTTTTAGCACGCCGCGGCGGCTGACAACGCCTTACCGATAAGAGGCAACCAATGCAGAGGGGGTGTGCAGACATGGCGTTGGCTCGAATGTAGCGAAGCCAAGCGATGATTAGGCAGACCATTTTCGACAGTTGCCGCTGAACGAAGTTAGCTGCCACTACGGAGATTCTATCAGAGAATGTTTGGAGTCTAATGTTCTATAAGCACATCCGTCACTCCACGTTTCGCGAAGCGACTGGTTAGTGTGCAGGAAGTTCTCCTCACCTGCGGGCTTGCTGCAGCGCCGATCTGGCTCCCCTTGGGCCGGCTGTGGAAGTAGGCGTCCGACTCCTCCGACGGCAGCTTCTCAACGTCGCCCTCGATCCGAACCTGCCAGACAATTACACATCCGTTACATCTGCTGGTCTCCATCACACCCGAAAATAGCCGACGCATCTGGAGCCTTCGTTGAAGGAGGGCACTCGATCGTTCGGACCTTTCACCTAGACAATGCCCCAACAACGCTGGTTCAACCATACAGCAGCAGTCGGCAACAAGTGCCAAAGCCGGACAACGCCCCAAAACGTGTTCAACATCCCAAACACCTTTTCACACCGGGCCTCTCTCAACCGGTTCCTCACCTGCCTCTCCAACCCCGGCCACCAGAAGGCGAGCGCGGCGCGCCCCGTCTCGCTGAGGTCACTCCCCTTCCTGCTCCCGTAGTTAGTGTACCATTTGAACCCGTCCGCGTCGTAACCCTTGAGCAGAACGAACCGGTTGCTGGGGCGCCCGTCCGCGCTCACGGTCGCGAGCGACATCCCGTTGGGCTCGTGGATGTTGGCCGCAACCGCGTCGTTGAACCACCGCGAGAACTGCGGTGCACGGTAGGGGAACGTCAGGCCTCTGTGCGCAGAATCAATTGCAGGGTTTCCCACAGTTTTTGAAAAAACGACCCGGCTCATCGGACTCCACTTGACATCACGCTTCGGCTTCTATTCGGAGCAAGAGGGAAGACTTCAGGAGCCATTCTGCCGTGACATACGAGCCTCCCTTCATAATGGTTGAAAGGGCAAGAAGTCTAGTGATTATAACCAGCCAAGGTGCCTTCAACCTCGGCAGTTGGAGACTCGTGAATCGAAGCGGTGATACTGCTACAAAACGTGATTCTGTGACAGAAATAACAACGATGGGCACGAGAGTAAACGAGACCCGAGGTCGAATTAACATTGGCAAACATCGAAAGCTTTCCGAGCCTTTCGTCCTAGCACCATTATAGGGGAGTAAGAAGCTCCCCAGAGTCGAAGTTCCCCCACGTCTCAAAACGCACCGGAAATGCCAACTTCCGAAGGAAGCCCAATCGTTCAACACTCATCCTTCCATGTTGTTTGCTTCTGTTAAGCAGCAAATCGCAGACTACTTAGGGCGTCTAAGCCAGTGGCATTGCATCAGCCGTTCTTCAGAGCTCGTTGCACCACCTGCTCGACGGGATCCTTTGCCGCATCTTCCTCGTCTAGCGCCCCCGCCTCATAGCTAAGCCGCATTGCGGCCACGTCGAGGACGGCCGGGCCAATACGCACGCACTGAGACGTCCCAGGGAAGGGGGGCAGCCTGAGGTGAAACTTTTCGACGATGGCCGGGGGGACGAACCGACCACCCAGGAAGTGGTGGGGGCCGTGGAAGAACTTGGCGGCCAGCTTGGGGGCAGTGAGCGAAACCTGGGAAGATGAGGGCTTGATGTGGATGACTGCATTCTCCTCGTCTTATGAGAATCAAAGTCTCATCAAAGTTTCATCCTGAGGCTCGTTCTCAATCTGATCCTTATAAGTCGGATGTGAATGTGAGCCGACACCTGCGACTCATGTAATCTGCAGTGAATCACGCAGAGCTGGATTCCAGATGGATTGTGTCAATTGAAAAAGAAAGAAATTGAATCGGACTTTAGCATACACCTCCTCATCCCTGTCCTGAGCACAGCCACCACTGTAACCGTCATTCGCATAATCACAAGTGCAACGTGACTGGATATGCTGCTTGTGGGAGGATTCAGGCACCTCCTATCGGCGTCCAGGAAGTTGAAGTATTTCCAAACGCAACCGCTACATCAACTTCTTCAGAGACAGTTCTCAGCAACCCACCAGCATCGGAGGATGGAACCCCGTGGTCTCTACATCCCCTTTCTCGACATCCCACCCCGAGGGAATGTCTATCGAGACAGTCGGAGGAACGCCGGTCTCAGCGGGGTTTGTGTCCGGGCCCACCGAGAGCATCTTCACAATCTTGTCGAAAGGCGGCCGGGGGATCCCCTTGAAGGAAAAGCCGAACATGGCGTCCACTATGACGTCGTAGTGGTCGGTCAGAGGCAACGAGAGGCTCTCGGGGTCGACGAAAGGCGCGTGCAGCGCCTCTAGCTGCAAGAGAACGAGTTTAGGAATTGAGGATAAGCTGCCCAGTCGGAGGGGCAATGGCGACCTGACTTTTCAGTTTAGTACTGAACGCATGGTAATTTTTAATATTCGTATGCATCAAAATGTCCAGATTATGACAGACTGTAAGCAGGCACTCACAGTCGACCCCAATTCCGTTGCTACCTCAAAACTCCGAGGTTCAGATATGTGTGATCTCCAATTCGAGGACATCTGAAAAGCCTTGGCTCAGCTGTTGCTTGAGACTAAAAGCTACGAGAATTCAACAGGTTTCATCAGTGAAAGAGGGAGTTGAAATGCATATTCACCTGTGTCACCAAGCCTTTGTAGAGCGGCTTATCCGTACGCTTTGGATAGCAGATGGTCGGCGCATAGCCAAAGTGGTGCAGGTGCCGAGCACACACAAAACCGTCTCCGCCATTGTTTCCTGGCCCGCAAATCACCAGCACGCGCCGGTACTCAGATGGACGGTAAACCTCGTAGATGGCGCACGCGACACTCAAGCCCGCTAGTTCCTGGAAAGGGTGGTGCGAATGGCACTTGTTCTGAGGTGGCATGTGAAGAGGGGGAACAATTGAACTGGGCATCAGGTCCTATTTCAACTCAAACAGACAACCTTCTGGTCCTTATACATACATAGAACGGGACAATGTTATGGTGACTTCTTTTAATGAATCATGTTGAGAGCAAAGCCCGAACGTCAGGAGCTTCAACAATCAAAAGAAGTCCTGAGTGGTGATCATTGGTAGTGGTAGCCTGCTTTCAAATGAAAGGCGCCTCATGCATTGTTTCTATGTATTTGCTCTGGCGTACCATCAGTTGGTCAACGGAGAACCCCAAGGGCCCCATCAGCTCCTCATCAATCGCCGCCGCTTCCTTTTGGGTCAGGTACGAGATGTCTGGTTCTGAGGCCGCCTGGAAAGCCATGTTGGCGCCCTTTTCCGAGGTTGACACCGCTTGTGTGCTGAACTGCGCACGTGATCCCCTGGCAAGATCTCTGTGTAAACTACTTGTTCCAAAAGATGCGAGATGCTGAAATTCGTAAGGAGCACTGCAAGAAGAAGTCAACGAACCAGAAGTCACAGCATTGTGAGTGTTGTTTCCTGGGCTAGAAGAACATTGCGCGTAACTCTGCAGTGATCTCCGAACGCCTGAGTCACAAACAGACGCAATCTGACTATTGATGACCGATGCAGCCAGCACAGAAAGGCGCCGGACTGCCGCTTGCCGCATGCTCCCACAAACAGTGGTGGAGACCTCCGCAGACGGCCTTGGCACGACCTTCGGGCAGTTCAGAGGTGGCCTGGAGCTCTTGCAGCTCAGCATTGCTGCCAATGTGCGTCCTCAAACGCTTCTCCTGCTGACTCCCCTTCTTTTGAGCTAGCGGCCACCATGCCAGAAACACAAGCTCCTGCACCAGGACTTGTGAATGAGGGAAGCACTCCACGTGGCACTTCCGAAATAGCCCACGTCGGATAGTAAACCCCTCACCAACCCCTCAAGTTGGTTGAGGGCCCCCGAAAGTTTGTGGATCGCTTTCGCTTTTCTGCGCCATGCTAGTCCGCGCCTGCCGTTACTTGACGTCAGCCGCATCGAGATGCCACCCTGCATCATATGTGGCCGTCGTGAAAAGGAAGGGTGCACTTTCCGGCGGCAGGTACGGAAGGTGCAGTTCTGCGGACAGATCTTGTTGTTTCATCCAACGGTCTGCCAGCAAAAATCAGCAATCCAATTCTTATCAACGGCTGCGATTGGAAAAGACAGCGCACGGTTGAAGTCGGTTGCGGTGAGCCTGGCGGAGCGATCTGGCCCAGGTCCCGCACTGCAGGCGGACCCCTAAATACAGGGGGACCTCGTTCGAAAAGACACGGCGTGCATTTTGTCATCTTCGACAGTTTGACTCGGGACAGCGGCCGCAACTGTTCTTGGAACACTTCCGAAAAGGCGGAGACTGCTGTTGAATCAGGGGCGTCTGCGCATTCGAAAAGTGAAGTTGAATGATCATAGGAGCTCCCCTGGAGGCCTATTAGCAGAAGGGAAGTTGTTGTCGGTTTTATAGCGGGCAAGGAGTCATGATATAGGTGTAGCGCTTCTGGCTGAGCTTTTGAAGGAGCCATGTGCGGCAGCTCGGCGGCTTCTTCGTATGGTCAGCTCTTGCTATAGAAATTCTGCACGCTTCTCCGTCAAGCGTCGCTGCAGATTGAAAACGCCGCCGGCTGATTGTCCGGTGCTCTCAAAGAGCCCGCTGACATTGATGCTGCTGCTGCCGATGCCGCTGCTCATCGTAGACCATGGTCCAGTTCTCTGACATTATTGCTGATAGAGACGAGCGGATTCATGAATGCAAGCAGGGAGCTCCCTTGTTTGACCAGCACACGGTGAGCAGGCTTCTCGCAGATAGGGAGGGGGCGGCCTTCTGGAATGGCCTCCAGATGCTAGCGCCAGAGCCGGCCGCGGTTGCAAGCGGGGATGAGGGGCGGGCGACCCCTGTTTCAGAGAGGGAGGCGGGCGGCAATTGTGGGGAGGATGAGGACCTGATAAGCGGTGTTGCGGAGGGGGATGGGGCGGTGGCCTTGGCCGAGCGGGGTGCAAATGCGGGGAGCGAGGAGAATGGAAGCCCAGGCTCGTTCTTGCACGTGAGTGGTCTAGGACGGCTCAGGTGCTCAGCCATTGCTTCTTTTCAAATTCAGTTCAATGCATCAACCTTTGATGCACATCTTGGACCTTTTCGTGAGCTGAGGGTTGATTGTTGAGCTCGCGCGACCTTGTGATGGGTGTCAGGTGCTGCCTTTGAGCAGTCCCCCAAACGAGTAGCTGCAGGGGGGGTTGTGAGAGGTCGTAAGTAGTTTCTCAAATGGCATTGGGTGGAGCATCAGCAGCAGCATTCAGAGAGAACCTGCAGCCAACTTTTTGAATTGATTAGGTGGTCTTTGCAAATGTTGCCATAAGCTGCTCCGAAGCAATCTTGATACTTTGATGGCACATGCATTCAAAGCCATTCTTTGCAAGTGGTTTGGTAACAACTTTTCAGCAAGTTTTGCATTGAGCAGGGTGGGGTGTTGACATACTTTGGATCGCTGAAAGAGCATCGGCCACCAATGCTTTGCGGGGGCAAGTTTGACTTGCAATACAAAGTGGACGGTTGTATACATCTTCAGAGTCAGGCGCATATTGGGTCTAGTTTCAGATCATAATGCATGTGGAAACAGCGTCACCACTTGAAAAACCGGACTCTTTTTTATTGTTATCCGCACTCCGAGTAGAGTCATTGTGGTGGCAATAAGAGTGCTGTTCCTTTCGGGGGCCAAGACGGTCACTGATAGCCACAAATGGGCCTTGCCTCTTGCAGACGGGTGTCCTTAATCAATTGCAGCAGGGACCAGGGTCTCCAGACCGGTTGTTGCACTTGGTAAGGCAACGCTCCCTGCGCATCTTGCCAGTAGCGGATGCAGTCTGTACTGGTCACAGTTCAGCCAGGACTTCTATCTTTCCAGGACTTTTTTGGGAAGTACTAATGAGGCTTTCAGAGCTGCCATGCTATTGGGTGGAGTGGAGGTGGTTTTCAGATCAGGTCGAATGGGACTCTTCCAATGGTCTTCTATCCATTTCTGAATTGGCAGCTGTTTGCCTTTAGTCCCTGAAATCAAGCAGTCAGTCAGTCAGTCCTCAGGTCAGCCTCGAGCTCCCCTCCTGGAGGACAGTCATTTGACTTAGACCACCCCCTAGAGCGCTTGAGGTCTTCCAGGAAGACCTGCTTATTTAGAATGGTGCATGCACATGTGCTGGAGTCTGCCGCTGAGAAGAGCTGCCCCGTAAGAACGTCATGACCACCAGAGCCTCAACCAAGAACAATCTGAGCTCACTATTCCCCTGCCTTTTCAGGCCCCGTCCCCTACCAAGCCCAGCCCCAAGCCCACCCCCATTGCAACCGTAAAGCTTCCATACCGGTTTTACGTCATCGAGTTTCCCCGGGGGATCGAGGTGTCTGCCAACCAGGGCAGCGCGGACCAGAACGAGAGGCGGCAGGAAAAGTACGCGGAGCGGGTTGCCGAGAAGGGTGGGCACATCCGGCAGGTGGTGGACATTGAAATGGTGTACCGCCGCACCGACAAGCAGCCCAAGCGCGACCAGATGCTCAAGACCAAGAAGGGCGAGCTGCGCGACGAGTATCTTTCACACCTGCCTGAGGCCGAGCAGCAGCGCCTGCGGAAGCTGGCGGAAGCGCCCGCACCTCCGCGGACGCCCCGCGAGGCCCCCGCAGTCTCCCCGCGGCGCGGGAAGCGCGCTAGCGGGGGGAGTCCGCAGGTCAGTGCGGGGGAGGGGGGCCTGGACAACTTTTCCCTGGGGCCGCCGTTGCAACCGGAGTTGGGGACCGGCAGGGACGTGCCTCAGCCGAATGGGGTGCAATCGCAGCGGACGGAGCCACCAAGGATGATCCCCCTGCCTGACCTGAACGGGGGCCCCGGGGACGAAGCACGAGCGGGGTCCGCAGGAGAGGAGCCGTGGGCGGGGTTTCCCCCCGTGCAGCACGCGCTGGAACTAGGCGTGGCCCCCACCTCAG